GAAACTCTAAGGGCAGTGGTGGCTATGTTTTAGAGGGACTGGATGGCATCAAGGGACAAAGATGTATTGTCTTCCTTAAAATCTTTTGTTTGCAAATAGCAGAAGCTCCCTCAGGCTGTTTTAAATCACAAAATGAATTTCCTTATGGAATTAGAGGTGCCTCATGGGAGCCTAAGTGCAGGCCTTGCAGGGAGGCCCCAGGGACCCTTCTCAGAGAAGGGGATGTCTCAGGCTGAGCTGATGCCTAGCTCAGTGTCCTGGCAAGTTCAGGCATTGGACTTCTGTAGACCAGGGACTTCCATAACCTGTCTCTAAGTCTCAATTTCCTCTTATGAAAAATGGATGTTCTCCTGCTTACAGCAGAAGGATATGGTGAAGGCTCAGTGAAAGGAAGTGTGAAGCATCTCTCCCAGTGTTAGCCTCTTTCAGACACTAGTTAGTGCTCTACATCTCCTTTATCCTCTCCCCAAAGTGGGTAAAGTGAATGATGGGGTGCTGACTTCCTTAGTTTTCCAGCCTCAGAAACACTCAATTCCAAACAGGAACTAACTGATGGGGAGGGTGAACTCTCACTGCTCCTCTGTTCTCCCACTAGGAAGCTGAAGAAGATACTACCTTTTCGCATCAGAGAAATTCGTGAAAGGGGAGAAAAAGTGTACTTGGTAACAGAAACTCTAATGAATGAGGAAACCATAACAAGGAAGGAGAAGAGTGAATTTGAATTTTCAGGCGACATACCATGGGTCAACCTCAATTTTCAGCACAAGGTTAGAATTCCTGGAGGCCCGGATGGAGGGAGAGCCAGACCTGGCCCACTTGCTGCAGATCTGAGTATGGCAGCCCTGATTCCTGGCTTCAGCTTTTCCCTCTGACCTCCCTAAGCAGACTCGCCCATTCCTTGCCCCAAGAAAGGGCGTTTAGCATTGCTGACCAAGTCCCTTCACTGTAACTCTCTAGTGGTGGTGGTTTTTTCTTTATAGCACTATTTATTATTACACAGGCAGGTTTGTTTGTTCACTGTCTCCTTGCTAGGAGGCAGGAGGGCATGAGAAACTGCCTAGAACAAAGCAGAACTACAAACATTTGTTGAATGAACAGTGGAATTTTGGATTCAAATCCCAGCTCTGCCACTGTTTGTAACTGTGGGGGTGGATCACCCACTAGTCCTCTCTGAGCCTTCCTTCTCTCATCTGTAAAATGTGGATAGAAATGTCTACCTCACAGGGTTATTTGGGAAAACATACAAGATAACTATGTAAATTAGTGATAAAAGTTTGAAACCATTGAAGACATGATGGAAATACAAGATGAAACCATTCTAAGTCTTCACATCAAGGATCAAACCTATCCCCTCAGAACACAAGATTGATAAGGATGGACAACTTAGACACTGGCTACCTAAAAGCAGGGGGTGGTGGCTATAAAGGCATAAAGTGGTTGTCTTACAAGTTTTCAAGAAGTTTAGTTTCAGAGTGTGTGGAGGAAGGTAGAATCCCCACTGAATAGTTTTCATCTTGTCTGGACGGGTATGGTGAAAGGAGATTGGGATAAGATTCTTATGATTCAATAGTGAATGATCGTTATCATAACCAATTATGACTGTCACAACTGTAAAGGTAAAAGTTTTGGAACATAAAGGAGGGAGTAGTTAATATTATATTCCAGGAACAGAGGACCCTGGGACCATCAAGGGAAAAAAGCATGAGAAGAATGTGGAACCCTATCATTTAAGTATGATTACAATACAGCCTTGGGATAACTTCAGCCGACTTTCTTCACTGGAAAGGCTCCTTTCAAGAATACTTTTCTGGGGTCTTAAGAGAGGGTGACCAGTTCACCAAAGACTCATTTTTACCATATGACACAGTGACTTGATTTTTCCTCAAAAGAGATGCTTAATTTACAGTAGTAAAGCAGACACTGGATGTGTATGCATGAGACATCTCTTTGGCAGCACTCTGTGTAGCTCACACAGCTGGGAAAGCAGTGAAAGTATCTATTGGCATTTGTATCTACAGTTATGTGAGTCCAGGTTTTAAATTTTGTGACTGAAACAAAAGAAATTGTCTATTTCATTTGAAAAGTACATTTTCCTATCTAGCCTAATTCTTTAAAATTGATCACTGATAGTCTGATAGTCTATATATGTGGCACTAACTTTAAAAAGCCACTGGCTTTGCTGTTAATACCTGGTGAGTTGGTCTGCTAACCTCAAGGTCAGCAGTTTGAAACTACCGGCTGCTCCACGGGAGAAAGATGGGGCTTTCTGCTCCCATAAAGATATATAGCCTTGGAAACTCCATACAGGGTCACTATGAGTCAGAACTAACTCCACGGCATACGACAACAACACCACCTTCCATGAATGTATTTGGCACCTTGCCAAATGTACTTCGGTATACATGTTGCCCTTGTACTCAAGTACAGAACAAATTTGTAGACTAGTACCTATCTGTTCTTAGGGGGCCAACTGCTACATTCAGAGCTATGAACTGCATTTCTTCTGAGTTTGCTATACCATGAAGCCCCAAGCAAGACCTAAACCCTTGTTTGCTTTTTCTTAGAGTAGAGAGGAGTTGTCAGGAGAAGTAAAGGTAGCTGAGGTTGGGGAGCAAGAGGAAATCATAGTCAAGGAAGACTCTACTAAATAAGACATCACATTCCTCAGCATTGTAATGAGTTTAACATATTTAAATTCTACTATTTGTTAGATTACCAAGGGTAACCCTTTAAAAGGACTGCTGCTTTCAGTTTAAAACTTAATGTTCTTTATACGTTTGTATGTATAATTTACTTTTTTTTTTTTTAA